CACCCTGTAGCCTTTTTCAACGATGATGAATTTGCCCTGTAAGATTCAAACAAGACCAGGCAGGGACATAATGTACTCTAAAAGAGGCCATGAGCATTCGGCATGACATGACAGGGTGGGTTGTCCTGTTGTCTGAAGATTTTATCTATGGGTATTCTCTCATCCTGGCAATTTTGCCAATTCTACCTGACATAGAATAAGGAAAAGGAATCAATAAAGAAAATATATTTGCTATCATTTTTATCAGATGACAAAAAGTGATTTTTAATACTTATATGAGGAACTAGATAACATGTAATTGACACAGAACCAGGTTAAAGCCATCCAACCACACAAGCACACAACTAGGCACTTATTTCCTATATTGCCTGATAGCCAAAGATCTCTAGGTCATTCATGTGAGCTCCAACAAAAATGGTTTGCTTTTCCTTCTGTTATCTAGAAAAACCCTTAATGGCCATAACACAGATCCAATCATTGTAACATAGTACAGGAATATCGGTTGATGCATTGATTTAACAAATCTTATATTCAGGCTATGCAAATGCCATTCATAATTGTTGTTGTTGTTAGTCGCTAAGTTGTGTCGGACCCATCGCAACCCCATGGACAACATTCCTCCAGGCCTTCTTGTCCTCCACCATCCCCCGAATTCCACTTAGGCTCATGCTGAGTTCTTCAGTGACTCCATCCAGCCACCTCATCCTCTGCCGTCCCCTTCTTCTTTTGCCATCTATTGTTCCCAGCATTAGGCTCTTCTCCAGGGAGTCCTTCCTTCTCATTAGGTGGCCAAAATATTTGAGTTCCATCTTCAGTATCTGGCCTTCTAAAGAGCAGTAAGGGTTGATCTCCTCTAGGATTGATCGGTTTGATCTCCTTGCAGTCCAAGTCTTCTCCAGCACCACAATTCAAAGGCCTCAATCCTTTGGTGCTCAGCCTTCCTTATGGTCCAGCTTTCACAGCCATACATTGCAACTGGGAAAACCATAGCCCTGACTATACGCACTTTTGTCAGCAGGGTGATGTCTCTGCTTCTTAGTAAGCTGTCTAGATTTGCCATAGCTTACCTCCCCAGGAGTAAGAGTCTTTTAATTTCTTGGCTGCAGTCCCCGTCTGCAGTGATCTTGGAGCCCAGGAAAATAAAATCTGTCACTACCTCCATTTCTTCCCCATCTACTTGCCAGGAAGTGCGAGGACCCGATGCCATGATCTTAGTTTTCTTAATGATGAGTTTCAAGCCAACTTTTGTACTCTCTTCCTTCACCCACATCAAGAGGCTCCTTAGTTCCTCTTCACTTTCTGCCATTAGAGTGGTATCATCTGCATATCTGAGGTTGTTGATATTTCTCCCAGCAATCTTAATTCCAACTGGGGATACATCTAGCCCCGCCTTTCTCATGATGTGCTCTACAAATAAGTTAAATAGGCAGGGTGACAGTATGTAGCCTTGCCAAACTCCTTTCTCAATTTTGAACCAATCAGTGGTTCCATGCCCAGTTCTCACTGTTGCTTCTTGACCCACATACAGGTTTCTCAAGAGACAAATAAGATGGTCTGGCACTCCCATCTCTTTAAGAACTTGCCACAGTTTGTTCTGATCCAGACAATCAAAGGCTTTAGCGTAGTCAATGAAGCAGAAGTAGATGTTCTTCTGGAACTCCCTAGCTTTCTCCATGATCCAGCGTATGTTGGCAATTTGATCTCTAGTTCCTCTCCCTCTTCGAAATCCTGCCTCTACTTCTGGTAATTCTCAGTCCACATACTGCTGGAGCCTACCTTGTAGGATTTTGAGCATCACTTTGCTAGCATGTGAAATGAGTGCAATGGTGCGGTCGTTTGAACATTCTTTGGCATTGCCCTTCTTTGGGATCGGAATGTAAACTGACCTTTTCCAATCCTGTGGCCACTGCTGAGTTTTCCAAGTTTGCTGGCATATTGAGTGTAGCACTTTTACTGCATCGTCTTTTAGGATTTTGAATAACTCAGCTGGAATACTGTCAGCTCCACTAGCTTTGTTGTTGCTCAGACTTCCTAAGGCCCATTTGACTTCACATTCCAGGATGCCTGGCTCAAGGTCAGCGACCACGCCATCATGGTTATCATGGACATTTAGCTCTTTCTTGTATAGTTATTCTGTGTAATCTTGCCACCTCTTCTTAGTCTACTCTGCCTCTGTTAGGTCCCCGCCATTTTGGTCCTTCATCATGCCCATCTTTGCATGAAATGTTCCCTTCAAATCTACAATTTTCTTGAAGAGGTCTCTAGACCTCCATATTCTATTGTTTTCTTCTACTTCTTTGCACTGTTCATTTAAGAAGGTATTCTTATCTCTTCTAGCTATTCCCTGTAATTCTTAATTGGGTGTATCTTTCTCTCTCTCCCTTGCCTTTCGCTTCCTTTCTTTCCTCAGCTATCTGTAAAGCTTCCTCAGACAGCCATTTTGCTTTCTTGCATTTCTTTTTCTTTGGGATGGTTTTAGTTGCTACCTCTTGTAAAATGTTGCGAACCTCCGTCCATAGTTCTTCAGGCACTCTGTCTATCAGATCTAATTCCTTAAATCTATTTGTCACCTCTACTGTATATTCATCAGAAATATGGTTCAGGTCATACCTGAGTGGCCTAGTGCTTTTTCCTGCTTTCTTCAATTTAAGCCTAAATTTTGCAAGAAACAGCTCATGATCTGAGCCACAGTCAGCTCCTGGTCTTGTTTTTACTGACTGTATAGAGCTTCTCCATCTTTGGCTGCAGAGCACATAGTCAACCTGACTTTAGTGTTGACTGTCTGGTAATGTCCATGTGTAGGGTCTTCTTTTGGGTTGTTGGAAAAGAGTGTTTGCTCTGACCACCGTATTCTCTTGACAAAATCCTACCAGCCTGTTCCCGGCTCATTTTGTACTCTAAGGCCAAACTTGCCTGTTATTCCAGTTATCTTTTGGCTTCCTACTTTAGCATTCCAATCCCCCATGATGATAAGGACATCATTTTTTGGTGTTAATTCTATACCTGATGGTCATCTGATTAAGTTCACCCATTCCTGTCCATTTTAGTTCACTGATTCCTAAGATGTCGGTGTTCAGTCTTGTCATCTCATGTTTGACCACATCCAGCTTGCCTTGATTCATGGATCTTACATTCCAGATTCCTATGGAGTATTGAGCTTTGCAGCATCGGACTTTCCTTTCACTACTAGATACATCCGCAACTGAGTGTCCTTTTGGCTTTGACCCAGGTGCTTCATTCTTTCTGGCGCTACTAGTACTAGCCCTCTGCTCTTCCCCATTAGCATACTGGGCACCTTCCAACCTGAGGGGCTCATCTTCCGGTGTCATATCTTTTTGCCTTTTGGTAGTGTCCATAGGATTTTCATATATAGGCAAAGTATAATTGATAGAATTCCCTCTCTTCCTTTAACTGCAGAAATTATTTGATTTTAGATACAGATGCTCTTTTCAAGGCAGACGAGCAAACTGAATTTTAGTTAATCAAAGTTTTCCAAGTGCTTTAAAGAAGGAGACATGTTTAACCTGTAGACAAAAATCTCTTCAATTTGCTGCTATTAACATCTGTTTGAACTAGCCATTTCTGTATTTAGTGATAATTATCCCTTAGTTCTAAGCAGAGCTACATTTTATTTCATAAGATTTGATATCACTGAAGGCTCTAATAGCCCAGCACTAAGAGCAGAGGCAACCTGTTAGTAAATTAGGTTTTGCAGTATCTATAATCTAGACAGTGAGATAAGCTGAACTTTCAAGGTGTTTTCTTTCAGAAGCATCAGTCAATTTCGATTAAAATTTAACACAACAGGTTTCAGCAAAATAAGCCACACACTTTTGCTGTTGCTGTTTTCTTTGCAGTGTGTTTGCACTTCTGAAATACTCCAGCCTACATGGAATATGAGTAAGTACTAGCACAGTTACAGATTCATTAGATAGCCCAGCTTGATGCTGAAGGAAGAAATGAAGATCTCAAAGATAACCACCACAACATTCCAAATGAAAGCGCTTGCTGGGTTCCTCTAATAAAAAGAAAACAAATTACCATGACAGATTTGTTAGACTTGTATAGAATAAATCCTGGATGACATAGTACACTTGTCTATTCTAAAGCATTAGCCTACTTCCATGTAGGGAGAAACACAGGAGAGAGCTATTTATAATACATATATTTTAAAATGAAGTTTCATAAAAAACCTCCCTCTTCCCCTGGCAGGCTTCCACTTTTCTACTGTATATATTCAGAAGTTTTCGAAGAGGAGATTTTGACCTCGTCTATTGGTATAGTAGAGACTATGGTAATCAATGTACCCCTCACTCTGTGTAGAGATTGCCTGCCTCAACCTGATGGCCTGGGGGCAGGTTTGGGCAGCAAGCAATTTTGCTGTTCACCATATCCTTTAGCATGTTCTCTTCTTCCCACAAAAGAGAATCTAGGTGCCCAGCTGCACTTGCATGCTGAGACATGGCATGAAGCTTCCCTGCTTAATCTTTTCTGGGAATAACGAAGTTCTAACAAACAGCTATTCGTTGGAGAGTCATCCCACCAAGTTCCAACAGAGATGAGCCTGAGATGTGAATTGATCTATTATTGTAGGGAGGTTTCAGGTGCCACTGTAGGCAACAAGGGAGATGCCATATGGTGGGAAAATAGCCTGGAGGCATACAACAGGACCCATGTGAAGCCGATGGACACTGCACTTCTTTTACCAATCACCAATGAAAAAATCAAAACTTTTAACAATTCTTTAACAAAAACAGTCACCCACAGTGTATTTCTGATCCATTAGGATGGAAATAAATTCTGTTCACATCTAAAAACACAAAGAAACCATGATTAAACAGAAAAATTGTTTATCAGTTAAAATGATAGCATAAGGGTATGCATAGCCCTGATCATTCAAAATTTTAAATATAAACTCATCTGTTTAAAGAATTTTGAATCTTCATGATTCAATGGTTAATTTAAAACTGAAGATATTTATGAAATGCAGTCCAACAAACCTTCTCTTGCAGGTGTCAGCTTTTGTTTGAGAAGGTAATTTACTATGGCACTTAGGCTTACATAGCATTGATGACCCATTGTGTTCCAGTTCATGCCACACAGTATATTAATTGCCTCATACATCTCGTCCTGATGAATATACTCCTGGATGATTTCCACAAGGCCAAGCTGTCCTCTTGGGATGACACCTGTCACATGTAAAAGAAAAAGGCAAAGCTGTGGGCAGATGTGTTTCACTCTTCAATACAATCACACATCCACTCCTTTTCAACAAGTTTCCTTGTTACATGATGAGAATGTATAAAACATAACATGTAAGCATAAATCATTCTGCAGTTCATAGTATTATATAGTTCTTTCTGTATTACTCTAACACAATTTACCAGTTCTGAGTTTTACTCTGCAAAAGTTGAACACCCAAACCTACATGGTGATGGGTCAATATGAACCAGTACTTTTCTACCATAATACACAGGTTGTGCACAAAAATACCTCTGTTGACACACTGCACAATCTGGAGGTTTGCCATAGCAATGCTTGTTCTTCAACCCAATTTACCCTTGTTGTAGGTGACCTAGTAGATTGTTCCTACTTCAGACAGAGGAGCCCTTTTGGACATCCAATACAATCTAAAGCCAGTACAAGTGGGGTTAAATGCTATGGTACCTTCAGCAATGTAGGCAAAAAGATTGGACTAAACTGAATTACAAGAATGTGCAGCATCTTGAGAATAAGCCTCTGAACTGGAATCTTAGTATCTTCAACCAGTGGATTTAGAATGTGTTGCATCTCAGTCTGTAATCTCAGATGGACTTTGTTTTTTCATGTGCAGGCACATTCTTGATTATTCCCAAAATGTATTAAAACATCCAGCATACATTAATGAATTTTTCTTCACAGTGTTCACATATTACAAGTTAAGGCAGGAAACAGAAAATAACTCTGAGGGCATATTACAGTGAACCAAAGACCTTATGCCAAATCATCACTGATTTCTCTACTGAAACTAAACCTAACCTGACAACTGAGAGTAATGAAGTGCTTTTTGGTATCACAAAACACTAGAACTATATCAACATATTTTTTTTCTATTTGCAGCAAAGCTATACTACCCATTAGGTTTGGTACGCTATACAGCAATTTTTAAAAAGCCCATATAGTAGAATGATTATCTAAGCGTGTTTCAAATGATAGTTTTCACAGCAGCCAAAATGTGAGGGACCACATACCTTGTCTGGCCTGAGAGTCAAGGAGAATTATAAACTATGAAAAAAAGTTCTTTCTCTAAAGTGTTCAAAGAAGACAAGAAAACTATTACCCTACTCAAATATTAATTTCCTGTTCCTTTGTTTATTTTATAGCAGAGATATAGAACTACAAGCCAAATCCGGACCAATTCAAATCATCAAGTTTTCCCAGATAGCCACACTCTTTTTCCCTAACACAAATCACTTGGTGGTTTTCCAGCTTTTATGCAGCCTTTGTCACTCTAAAAGGTTGCAACACTTCTCCTAAAGATTAGTCATTGGCAGTTGAGAACTTTGAGTTAAAAAATATTGGTGTTTATTTTTTTTTTCACTCCACTCCCTTTTGCCTTAAAACCAACCCACCACTGGAATGTGGCCTGAATGTTTCTCTGAAATGGAATTTGGTCCACCATCTGAAAGAGGTCCAAGTATCTTTGTTTTATATAGCTCTTACCAGAAAGAGACACTATGCAGCTTAGATATGACTCTAAAATTGTGTTAAGCCTCACATTGGTAGAGAATTGGTGAGATCAGGATATTTTCTTACTGTTGTATTTAAATTAAAATGTTGGTGTTTGCCAATGTAGATAGCACTGCATATCTGCAATGACTGAAATGCAGGTATGTAAGGAACAGCTGCTGCCACAGAATTATTAAATAAATCTACATCTAACACAATCCTATGCATATTTACTCAAATGTAATTTCTACCACATTCAATAGGTTTTATTCCTAGGTGTTCAAAGGACTGCAGCCTGAACATGGAATTGTGATGTTGCAAGGCCTACACTGAATGCTTGTGTATGTGATCAAAAATATTTAACACTGATCACCACTGCTATGAGTTAAGAGGCTATTGTTTCATTATAATTCAGGCCTGTTGACCAGAATGTATGCCTTCGTATCTTTGAGACTTGACTGATAATATAATGTATCATATCGTATTGTATTATGTTTTATTGCTTTTGGGTTTCATTACTTAGCTTTCCCACCAACCCTCCAATTTTCTCCTACCCACATAGGGAACAATCCATGCATTTTTGGACAGAAAAAATCCGACAAGTTCCAGCATTTCCCAGCTAACAAGGTGCAACTACACTTATAATTTCTCAACTGCTAGAGCAAGTTAATGGAAATATACACAACAAAATTTTAAAATGTGATAACTTTCAACCACAGAGGTCAACATCTTCCCATTTCGATGCTTGACTTCTCTTGGGTAGTGTGTTTGTGTGACCTACTTTGGTAAGAGAGGTGACAGACAACTCATTGCCTAATTGATTTAGGAACAGTGCCCAGGGAGACAGTCCAATTAAGTTTACAAGCTGGCAATTAGCAGAAAGGCCTCTAAATCCCTCTACTGAGAGCCTGTTTGTCTCAGTAAGAACATAAATGTGCTAGAGATAGGAAAGGGAACGCTGTGCTTTCTGGAAAGCTTGTTGTGAGTAAAAGCCACAAGGGAAAAAATAAGAAAAGCAAGGTAGATGGAGGCAGAGTGCCTTCTGTTTGACAGGTAACTGGGTAATTTAGAGGCATTCAAAAATAGACAACATATGAGAATACATCAAAGAACTGCTTTAATTAGCATTCTGGGTAGGTATCTACTGGACAAGATGGAACTAATGTGTCTCAAAGTACTGAATTTCTACAAGCTTTCCCCCTATTTAAGAGATTTCTCAGGTAACAAGGACAATTTCCAGACAATATAAATGTGACTAAATGTGCAACTCTGCTTGCTTGTAATTTTTTTACTAATTGGAATGAGTGTAACTACAACTGCAATCCTAATTTTGGCACAGTGTTTTGAAAAACTGGAATTCCAGCAATGTTCTTTTGGCTCATACTGATGAAAATTGTCATTAATATCTCAATTATTCATCTGTAAGATACATAGATCAGTTTTATGCCAACAAATGGATTTGTTGGACAGATTTAGTCGAACAGTTAAGTTCAACAAATTCAACACAATTTTAGATTTTTTACTTATATCTATTTTACTTCAAAACAAATTATTCTGCTTGCTGATTTAAAGAGCAGGAATCTTTTCTCAGTTTATACAATGCAAAGTAGCATCAGTTAGCTATTGAAGAGAACTATTTCTTCCATAAATTAACAAATCAACTTACCCATTTTAAAATGAAGTATTCCAATAGGTCCTTTGTCAAACATAAATAACAGAAGATCATGGATACCTGTATCATCCATGCTTTGATATGTAGCCAGAGGGACAGTCCACTGGATCTGAGTGAGACTGCTGGATACATCAATTTTTTCACTGAATTGTAGCGTTGATTTGAGTGAAATGTCTTCAGCTAATAGCTGGATTTTAATTGGAGAGAGTGCCATGTCAAACAGTTGTAGCTCTCCTTGTGAACTACCAACCAGGATTATGGCTCCGCTGGGGTGACAACACATTAAGGTGGGCAATAGTTCTGCTTGTCCTAGTAGAGTTATTTGACGGTAGACTTCATATAGAACTATTGAAGAATCTTCACATCCCAAGACAAGTTTATCTTCTGTAATGTTCCTGCAGCAGCTGATGGCCTTTGATGTTAGTGGTATTTTGGTAACTGCCACACACTGAACTTTGTTCCTAATGCATTCATAGATGCAGCTGTCCACCATGGGCTCTTGGTCCGCACTCAAAGAGCGTTCTACTGTTTGAATCTGATAAGGCTGATACAAACTAAAGCCAGCATCAAGTGGATCCCCATCTGTGCGTACATAACTTAAAACCTGAAAAACAATCCCAAAGTTTAATAAATCACTTACACCAATTTTGAGTGGGTTGAAATAATACACTGCTAATAAAGTCTGCAAAATAAAATTCTGTTTTTTATTTTGTAATTCACTCGATTCACAAGTGAGATAAGTGGGAGTAATAAAATCCATTGTTGCCAACCAAGCCTTTGAAGCATTTATTTATTTAAAACATTTGTATGCTGCCCAATTGTGCCACAGCACAATTTGATTTGTATTTAATATTAACCATAGCATGTTCTTGGCACCAAAGCCTTAATCTAATGAAAAAAGTGACAATCTAGGGATGTGTGAAGAATTCAACAGGGTGAAAATCCAAGGGATTTTCTCAACTCAGCCCTGCAGATTTTGTTCTCCACTGGCATTTACTCAAACTGATGTAAGTTGAATCACCATGTGGACTTCCATTTAAAAAAAAAAAAAAAACCCTGCAATTCACATAATTTGAGAGAGAGAGAGAGAGAGAGAGAGATCTGTACACAGATTGGGCTCTGTTCCACAATGTATACCAATTGGAAAATGGAGTTTGAATTTTGTTCAGATTGGAAATAGTCAGAAATTTTAATAAGGCCAAAATGCAGTGTGTTGCATATGTAGTGAGAGAAGGATGCTTCCATACTTCTCATGTTAAGTAATATAGCAAGAATTAGAAGAACAACTTGAATCTAATGCCTCAACCCTGATTTGTGCAAGTAATGATTTGAACAAATTGCACTAGAGCTATGCAATTGCTGGCATCAATTCTTTACAAATATTGCAAGCATTTTCTTAGAAACTGATCCCTTCTGCCAGCAATGGCCCATTTTAGGCCCCTGGCTTAGAAATGTTCACATAACTAAAATACAACAATTTTTTCTGGTGTCACACACTCATACTTACAATAAAGCAGTTAACAGTTTAAGAAGTCATCAATTCAATAATTTTATTTCCAGAATTCTGTGATGTATTTATTTGCTTGGAGAGAGTATTTCAGCAAAGTACAAAATTATATAGAAGACTACAGATTCAGATATTGAAAGAAGATAGTATTTTATTTGGCTTGAGGTTTCCCTCTACACCTTAAGTTTGTAAGCAACTATAAGACTGAAGCTGTTTATCATCATCACCAGCAGCCTAAAATATATCAATCAATGTAAACAAATGTAAAAACAAGACTAAATGATACAACAGAAAAGGTCCTAGGGATCTCAGCTTCTTTCCTTATGGTAGACACAGGTTTGTTGTCAGTTGAAGCTAGAACTCAGAAGACAGCTATTTTATATAACAGAGTTTTGGATATGCCTGAAAACATTATTTGAGAGAACAAATAAAGATGGGAGGCAGGGACACGTTAAGTCCAAAGCTAGTCTCTAAAAATCTACCATCTGATATTTTCACTATTTCTAGAGATAAAAATAAAATGAGAGATTTGATAGATGTTCCGGAAAATAATCAGACTTATTTTTTTCCTCAGTGGTTCTGTTTATTTAAAATGGATCATAAAGGAGTCCAATATCTACACATTCTCACTTCTGTTTCACTGGAAATTTCATTTACAGAAGTATATTTTCAAATCCTGCTTGCAGCATTCTTGGGCAGAAGATACACGCAGGTTCTAAGAAATCTACGTCTCTGTGACCTGGGAGAGGGAGAGGGTATCTCACAATATTAGTCATGCTACATTTTCTATCAAACCCTAGGAAGAGCTTCTTAGCTAAGAGTCTAGCATCTTTTGCAGGGTAAACATTTAATATAAAGATTTTCTATTTACTCTACTATCATGGCCTTTATATTCCATCTTTGCTAAGATTGCAAAATATCTTTGTGTGATTATTCAGTGACTGGGTATGTGTTGTATTGATCAGTCCCATGTTTTATGTGCTGTTATCAAATGATTTCTTAAATATGTTGCTTGTAATGGCTATTAGTTCTGTTAAACAGAATAAAATGTTTGACTTGCTGCCCAAACACAGTTACCAGTATGTAAAGTTATATAGTCCTTATAATGACCAGCTTCAATGGAAACAACTGAGGAAGGGGAGGAGCCAAGAGGGAACTACTCTGTCAGCTAAGCTGATGGAGTGAATTGCAAGTGAGCAACTCAGCCCCACTCAATTTAGAGGTGCTTCTTTTTTACAGCAGAAAAAGTGACTGTGTGACAGCAATGGACTATGATAGCAAGCAAGAGCTAAAACATCCTTGCTTGTCTAAGCAGAATTCACTGATTCAGAACAATACAAGAAAAACAAAAAATTGTAGATTCAATGATCCATAAGGCAAAGTAGAAATATAAAATTAAACTGAAACCACTATGGGAAAATGATAACAACTTGAAATGTGGTAAAACAAAAGATTGGGTAGGAGAAAATAATCATGCTACTGAAAACAGTCATACTCGCTTGAGTATTTGTCAAAAATGCCCCTGTAAATTGGTCCCAAGGAAAAAGGAAAAGCTACTGGAGACATACTGGCAATAGATAAATAAGTAACAAATCAGTCGTGCATTCCTGAAGGAGAGGACTAAATTATACAATAATCAATAATAAAAAGAGGAAACAAATGTTCATATTTGTGTATGGAGCATTATAGAAGAAAAAGACTGTGATCACAATGCTATTTCTCAGCTACAACTGATGTATTTGAGATAGTGAAATGAAGGTAGAAGAATGGTGCAGGGCACAAGACACTTTTTCCACAGGTTGAATTTTTACTCTATTTTTCTTCACAGCATTCTTATTCATTTCAAAACAGAGCTTCCAGATTAACATTTTGAAATAAAGAACATCTTAAAGTACTTGGTTTACTTTATGAACCTGCAATATAGTAAAATAAGAGACATCTCTTTGGGATGTATTGAGAATTCTTTTCTGCTCATGTGTTATAATACAAAAATGTACTGCGTGGAATAGGTTTTGCTGCCTGGATCACTGCCTTGCCGTGGGTGAAGGGGCTTGTGTAGTGCGATGAAGCTATGAGCTATGCCATGCAGGGGCACCCAAGACAGTTAGGACATAGCAGAGAGCTCTGACAAAAGGTGATCCACTGGAGAAGGAAATGGCAACCCACTCCAGTATCCTTGCCATGAAAACCCCATGGACAGTACCAAAAGGTAAAAAGATATGATGCTGGAAGATGAGCCCCTCAAGTCGGAAGGTGTCTAATGTGCTACTGGGGAAGAGCAGAGGGCAAGTACTAGTAGAACCAGAAAGAATGAAGCGACAGATCTCCAGCTCTGATCCTACCTTGGAATCCTACTGCCTAGGTTTTCTCTCTAAAGCAATTAATGGCATCAATAAATTTCATATCAATTAACAAGGAATGGGAGATCACAACAGCAACAAACTAGAGTTAATCCACAGAGTTTCTTACCTTGTGTCCTGTGTTCACACTGGTGAGTAGTTTCTACATGTCTCCATCTTCCCTCCAAATGGCAGCATGCACCCTATCAGCTCCCACAGCTGTGAACCACTCCCAACATGCACTGCTCCTGCCTGCATCACCTGTCTTTTCTCCATTGGCCCATGCACTCCCCTGGGCAGTTTCTCAGCTAACCACTGTTTTTTTCTGCTGTTTCATGGAGGCTTCTACTTATTAGAGTAGCACAGTGGCTCCACAGGTGCAGCAGAGCAGCAACCAGACAGAGATTCCATGCATGACTACCCCCACAGTCACTGATATTGGAGGTGCTCCCCGTCCTCCCCCATCGTGTGTGTTCCTTGATGCCCAGCTGCTGCACCACCGCCATGGCCACTGTCTGCCTATCACCCACCTCTTCTGTGGCCCGGTCAATCGCCCAATTGCCTGCCTGCCCACTACCTGGTTAGGTTGTCCATCTCACATGCTGCATGGCCAATTGCCAACATGTGGCAGATAGTGACAACTGGCCAAGTGGCCTGCAAAGTGAGTGATCAGCCAGGTGGTGGACATGGCCGGGCCTGGTGGCTGGTATTGGGGAGTGTGTGCCTGGAGGGAGCACAGGGACAACCAATCAGCACTCTGTCAACAACTCAGCTACAGCCAGGTGAACAGAGCAGTGCAAAATAGTGGCTGCAGCAGCCATGGCCACCACAGCTGCTCTTGCCACTGAACTTGGTGGCCGAAATGGGGAAACCTTGGAACAACATTGCAATCAGAGTCACACAAAACTAAAAGCAATGCTGAAGTGTAGAAACCTTAGAACAGACCATTTGTTCTCTGTGGGATTCATGGTAACCAAACGTGCTGCGTTTCAGCATGCTTCCAGTATTCACACATAATGACAAGCTGTTCCTACCATGGCTTGTCATTATGTGTGAATACAGCCTCTGTCAAGTGTTGGTACAGCAGCCCCTGTGCATGTAGATTCTCAGTCAGCATTTCTAATTAGTTTGTTTTGTTTGTGTGTGGTATCATGGTGTGAAATTAAACATCTATAAATAAACAGTTTGTTCATGTTGAAGACAGAAAATTCATTCACATAGGGCCTGTTCCCCTTTTCTTCTTTATCTCCTTGGTAAGCCAATTTTCTGCTGAAAATCTACTGTTTAAAACTCTTATTTCGTTCAGTATGTGGGCATTATCCTTTTTTTTTGGTGCTTTTATGCAAAATGATGCACTCATGTATGCACTTTAAAATCCATGTAGAACAGTAAGACCCTACTGAAATAAGAGCCAGGCATCCCACTCTAATTGCAAATATTAGTTAACCTTCTGATATTTTTCTTCTTTCTAACCTTGACTAGGATAACATAGATGGTGCTTTTCCTTTTCTTTCTACACAAGTTCAATCTGAGAAAATGGAAGGGTCAATAATTGTATGTTACCAATGTTTAATTTGAAAATCAATCAGATTAAGTTGTAGTATATTTTAATATTGTTCTACAGCTCCTGTTATGCTGCTTCTAGTTTTCTATCACATGCTTAACCACAACTTATACACTAGCTGCATGGGTGGCAGGGCAGAGAACTGATGGGATCCCTGATGGTATAGCTCAATACACAGGGCTTTGTCTGCTAGGCACCTTCCTTTGCCATGTCTTTACTACTATTGGAAGCTGTAATACTGTCAGACCCATGGTCCCTCTAGTTCAGCATTGTCAACACTGACTGGCAATGGTGGCTTTGCACAGTTTCAGACAAGATTCTTTCCAAGCCATCCCTGATGATGCCAGGGATGCGCCTAAGAACTTCAGCATTCAAAGTAGGAAACCTACTGCAAGAAATAGATTTGGACAGCAGGCCGTGTGTACGGTTTGGTTCCACTCCTACAATGGAGTTTTTTGAGATAAGCCAGGGAGTTGCTGAGAATCAGACTGTTCACTTTTTGTGGGAACCTTTACTGAGCAAGCTGATGGGTGGACTGGGAAGATCCAATGTCATTAATCCAACAATGCAGTATCAGGCTGAGGGCACGGACCAGATGAGAAGCATCAGATGTTCCAAGCACTTGTCCCTTAAGCAACCCACCTTAAAGATTTGGCTTGTTCTTTTCAATGTGGAAGGAAAGAAAGATACTTGGTTTAGAATCCCCATTAAGTTGCATTTTCCTAATGGTCAGTTTTCTGAGTTTGCTAATTTCTTTTGTAACTGATTTCTGCAGTACTTTTATTTTTTTTCCTAAAAAGCTGGTCAGCTTAAACATAATAAAGACTTTTAGTTAGAAAGTGTTCATTCTGGTCTTTTTGGAAGGAGAGGGGGAGGATCCAACACTATATACCTTTCAACTCAGACCATTCAATATATTTTAATCTCTTAGGGCACAAGGCTACTAGGATGCTTATACGCCCACAAAACTTGAAATGTTACAGACATCCATGCAGAGCCCGAGGAGCAGCAGAGGTGATCTTGACTTTCCTGTCCTCTATGTTACGTTATTCGCAAAGTCGTGCCGGACCCATGGACAACATTCCCCCAGGCTCTCCTGTCGTCCCAGATCCTCCGGAGTCCACCTAACATCACACCGAGTGCTTCAGTGACTCCATCTAGCCACGTCATCCTCTGCCGTCCACTTCTTCTTTTGCCATCAATTGTTCCCAGCATTAGGCTCTTCTCCAGGAGTCTTTCCTTCTCATTAGGAGGCCAAAGTATTTGAGTTTCATCTTCAGGATCTGGCCTTCTCAAGAGCAGTCAGGGTTGATCTCCTCTAAGACTGACTGGTTTAATCTCCTTGCAGTCCAAGGGACTCGCAGGAGACTCCTCCAGCACCACAATTCAGATGCCTCAATTCTTCAGCGCTCAGCCTTCCTTATGGTCCAACTGCACAGCCATACGTTACAACTGAGAAAATCATAGCCTTGACTATACAAACTTTTGTTGGCAGGGTGATGTCTCTGCTTTTTAGTATGCTGTCTAGATTTGCCATAGCTTTCCTCCCAAGGAGTACACATCTTTTAATTTCCTGGCTGCAGTCCCTGTCTGCAGTGATCTTGGAGCCCAGGAAAATAAAATCTGTCACTACCTCCATTTCTTCCCCATCTACTTGCCAGGAAGTGATAGGACGAGATGCCGTGATCTTAATTTTCTTAATGTTGAGTTTCAAGCCAACTTTTGCACTATCTTCTTTCACAGGCATCAAGAGGCTCTTTAGTTCCTCTTCACTTTCTGCCATTAGAGTGGTATCATCTGCATATCTGATGTTGATGATATTTCTCCCAGCAATCTTAATTCCAGTTTGTGATTCATCTAGCCCTGCCTTTCTCACGATGTGCTCTGCGTAGAAGTTAAATATGCAGGGTGACAGTATGCAGCCTTGCCGTACTCTGTTCCCAAATTTGTACCAATCAGTGGTTCCATGTCCAGTTCTCACTGTTGCTTCTTGACCTGCATACAGGTTTCTTAAGAGACAAATAAGATGGCCTGGGACTCCCATCTCTTTAAGAACTTGCCACAATTTGTTGTAATCCACACAATCAAAAGGTTTAGCATAGCCAATGAAGCAGAAGTAGTTGTTTTTCTGGAACTCCCTAGCTTTCCCCATAATCCAGCGTATGTTGGCAATTTGATCTCTAGTTCCTCTCCCTCTTCGAAATCCTGCCTCTACTTCTGTTAGTTCTCGGTCCACATACTGCTGGCATCTAGCTGGTAGGATTTTGAGCATAACTTTGCTAGCATGTGAAATGAGTGCAATGGTGCAATAGTTTGAACATTCTTTGGCATTGCCCTTCTTTGGGATTGCAATGTAAACTGACTTTTTCCAATCCTGTGGCCACTGTAGAGTTTTCCAAAATTACTGGCATATTGAGTGTAGCACTTTTACTGCATCGTCTATTAGGATTTTGAACAGCTCAGCTGGAATACCATCACCTCCACTAGGTTTGTTGTTGCCCGTACTTCCTAAGGCCCATTTGACTTCACATTCCAGGATGTCTGGCTCGAGGTCAGCGACCACCCCATCATGGGTATCAGGGACATTAACATCTTTCCTGTATAGTTATTCTTTGTAATCTTGCCACCTCTTCTTAGTCTACTCTGCCTTTGTTAGGTCCCTGCCATTTTGGTCCTTTATCATGCCCATCTTTGCATAAAACATTCCCTTCATATCTCCAATTTTCTTGAAGAGATATCTGGTCCTCCCTATTCTATTGTTTTCTTCCATTTCTTTGCACTGTTCATTTAAGAAGACCTTCTTATCTCTTCCAGCTATTCTCTGGAATTCTTCATTCAATTGGGTGTATCTTTCTCTTTCTCCCTTTCCTTTCACTTCCCTTCTTTCCTCAGCTATTTGTAAAGCTTCCTCAGACAGACATTTTGCTTTCTTGCATTTCTTTTTCTTTGGGATGGTTTTAGTTGCTACCTCTTGTACAATGTTGCGAACCTCCGTCCATAGTTCTTCAAGCACTCTGTCTATCAGATCTAATTCTTTAAATCTATTTGTCACCTCTACTGTATATTAATCAGGAATATGATTCAGGTCATACCTGAGTGGCCTAGTGCTTTTCCCTACTTTCTTCATTTTAAGCCTGAATTTTGCAAGAAGCAGCTCATGATCTGAGCCACAGTCAGCTCCTGGTCTGGTTTTAACTGACTGTATAGAGCTTCTCCATCTTTGGCTGCAGAGCACATAGTCAGCCTGATTTCTGTTTTGACCGTCTGGTGATGTCCATGTGTAGGGTCTTCCCTTGGGTTGTTGGAAAAGAGTGTTTGCTATGACCAGTGTGTTCTTTTGATGAAATTCTACCAGCCTGTGCCTTGCTTCATTTTGTACTCCAGGGCCAATCTTGCCTGTTAGTCCAGTTACCTTTGACTTCCTACTTTAGCATTCCAATCCCCCATGATGATAAGGGCATCAGTTTTTGGTGGTAATTCTAGAAGGTTTTGTAGGCCTTCATAGAACTGGTCAGCTTCAGCCTCTTCAGCACCAGTGCTTGGGGCATAGACTTGGACTATTGTGATGTTGAATGGCTTGCCTTGGATTCGAACTGAGATCATTCTGTCATTTTGAAGGTTGTATCCCAGTATTGCTTTTCCTACTCTTTTATTGACTATGAAGGCTACTCCATTTCTTCTGAGGGATTCTTGCCCACAGTAGTATACCTGATGGTCATCTGAATTAAATTCATCCATTCCCATCCATTTTAGTTTTCTGATTCCTAACATGTCAATTTTCAGTCTTGCCATCTCTTGTTTGACCCCGTCCAGCTTACCTTGATTCATAGATCTTACATTCCAGGTTTCTATGGAGTATAGATCTTTGCAGCATCGGACTTTCCTTTCACTACCAGATATATCCGCAACTGGGTGTCCTTTTGGCTTTAGTTAAAAAAAACTAAAGAAAACATGCTGGCTGCTTCTAGGTTAGGTTAAGGCTTAGCTTTTCCCTTTCCTTTAATCTACCCAACTTCAGCCATATCATCTTCAAAAGTAAGCCCCTACACCCTGAAATTTCTAGGAATCTGCCCTCCTCGAAGATGAATCCCATATTTTAGTTGTATTTCCTATTGCTGCCCTGAAACTAGAGAGAGTTGCTGAGCCAAAGTGCTTTGCCCCAGTGCTAACTATAAGAACTTTGCAACTTGAAGAATCAGTCCCTGAGTCTGTTTCCTTCTCCTGTATCCCCTTTCCTTTTATGTTGTACCTTTTAGATTGCCCAAGGACAAGAACTGCCTCATTTTTCTCACTCTACAGGAACCTGCTCTGGGAGCATTTTCAGCTGAACAGCAGGGAAAAACATTTTAAGGAAATAAATAATAAATAACTACCTATGCAAGGATTGGAGACATGATTAAATGAGAAAATTAACAAGATCCAATTTAGAAGATTACCTCCAATTTGCCAAATTCACATCTCAGGAGCAGTAAGTTGGCCCTCTTCCTTTCACCGGAAACAGGAGACCAAGGCCATACTTCATCCTTTGACACTGACCACCAGCAAATAACCATATCCTGAATGCAATTTATTGCCAGATGATATTTTGTTCGTTTTCCAAGTCCTGGTATGTCAACATATGATATCTGAGAGGAAAAATAATATAGAACACATGTAAAATTAAGTAAACAAAGTCCATGGAGTTTATTTTACGTGGCAAAAGGAATGCATACATATTGACATAAATAACTCTACTGCATTATTTTGGCATGGCTAATAACAGCTGCCTCATTTCCCAGCTGAATCACATTCTGGTCCTTGTTACATTTGGAATAATAATACAGAATAGCAGTTTTGACGCCTTCCCTGGCTAGTGACAGTTATTTGGGCTAAACATCGACCTGGGGCAGTTCAAAAACATTCAAGGTGCAATTCTATGGGGGTACCTGTAACCCCTGAACCCAGATGATAATGGGCATCCTATAAAGGGGTTGGAAAAGTGTGGAGGTAAAGGCCAATTCCATGTTCCTTTCATTTTGCAAAACACTTAGATCAAGGCATCTCCTGCCTCAGAACATCCACTAAACTGGCCAGTCTTACAAGCGCAGAGGAGGAATAATTTTTTCCATGTCAGCTGCAAGGGAGGAAGTGGCTCCCAAATGTGGAGACCTAGCTATGAGACTGACACAAAGAGTGAGGATTCTTCACCTGTGAATCTAAGAAATTCTATGGCTATCAAGCCACTGTCTAGCAGCCATAATATTGCATTGATAATCACTGCTTTTTAGCCTCGAGCCTTTCCTGTTTATGAAACAGCAGTGACTATTCTGTTTGTAAGAACAGAGAAGACAGCAAAGTAGTGCTGCCCACCTCAACTTCTTGAGAATTTGTAAGTTGTTTTATAACAAAATGCAATGAAGACCAAAAAAAGGAAGCAGTGTTAACTATTTTAGCATATGTTGTCTCTGCTATTTTTTAAAAATGGAAAACAATTGTAACAGAAATAAAATCCTCACATCCACTTATCACTGTAACAACATATTTTGAGTTCACAATAAATATGTACATGCATATTTATTTCCATATATCATATCTCAATTATGGAACACTAGCTATAGTTCTGTTTTGATAGACACAAGAACTTAAAAGCAGATATACTCCTCTCTGTCTGTCTGTCTGTAAATATAATGTAGAATCTCCATGTTTACCAGCTTAATTCATAAGCTGTCTGACAAACCTTAGCTTAATGTGTTTTCAAAGATAGGGTAGTATCACTTTGGTCATCTGCTAGTGCAGATAATATTGCACTAACAAAGAACAAGTTTTGAACTACGTACAAGAGCCAAATCCAACTAACATTGTTTGTGCAAGCATGGTGGTCCAAGTACATTTTGCTTGCACATCCCGTTGGGCAAATGGCTGCACAAATATAACACACAATTGCTTTCACAATGGAAAGATTTGGCAGAGCACAGCTAACAGTATTTGAATTTTACAGCATGACACCATTGGACTATAGACTAAAATATATATTTAAGACATTTTGTTTGTACGGCTTTAGTAATCATAATGCAATACACTTGTATAATTAATTTTATCATTTGGAAATTATGTTCAGGATGAATTTAGCTTATATATTAATAACTACTAGGAAGCGAATGTGATGTACCCTTAGAATAGTCCTTGACGGTTAGACAATGCATACTCAAGATATGAAGGTTTCACTGGACAACCTTGAGTATCCAGGGTTGTGGTGAGGATAAAGGGAAGAACAATGAACGCTACACATGGTTTCCTGAAGGAAAGGTGGGGCATAGATATAGTGGCTGCAATGGTAATGAAATTATGAATCCTTATCCTCTTCTGCCAGCAATTGAGCATAAACCAATTCTGTTGACTGTAATCAGTCAACATGAATTTGCATCTGCCAGTATCACATACTCTTCACTATTTCACTATTTAAGTGGCTCTATGTCATGAATATAGGCTATTTGAGCCAGTACTACATAGCCATCATGTGCATAATTACTTAATTCCAGATTCTAAAATAAATATGCAGGAATTAGATCCATTCAATCCATTTTCAGACCCTGTTATGGGAAGGATTCAGGGACTACTGTATCCATCTGGTCTGGTTGGCATGGTACTAGTTGACACTGTAATGCAGTGGTCTCAGAACTTCATGGAAGATCTCTCACAGTAGGTGGTACTGGGAGACTCCAAGCTCTTGACTCCGATGGCAGGGGTAAGCAATTGGTGATCATCAAGATGTTTTGGTCTACAACGTTCAACAGTCCTAGTCAGCATAGCCAATAATGAGGGATTCTGAAGGTCACAGACCAAAACATTGGAAGAGCAACAAGTTATCCATGACATGCCTATCATGTTCCATACAATTTTATTCTATTCCTCATACTATATATCTGTTCAACAAAACTTTGGGGGCAGGTTTTATTCCAGGGATTCTGGAATTCCGTATCTCCAGTACCCAAATTAACATCCATCTGTTTTTCCTTTACATGAAAATCCAAGGAAGCTGTTGATATCAATGGCTCCATCAATGGCTCATGCCAGTAACTGGATGAGAGCAAACCAACTGAAGCTTAATCTAGAAAAAAAGAGGTGCTCCTAATCTGTAGAGAGCAGAGGATTGAGGTTAAGCCAATTTTAGATGATGCTGTATTCCCCTTAAAGACTTTGATTTATAGTTTTTCTATATCCATTCCTAGAGCTTGTTCACTACAAACTATGCTCATAAACACTGACCTGTAAGTAAATCCTATTTAACTAAGCAAGACTTACTTTCAAGTAGACATTTATAGGATTGCACTGTAGTACTCTTTAAATGGTTTTGTCCGTGCCACAACTTGTTCACTTGACTCCTGCCTATCTTGGCTAATTGAGAGATCGAAAGAGGGGACTCATCCTGGGATCCAAGAGGTAGTGAATGCCTCCTTGAGAGTGGGAGTGGTGCCTGCCCCTTTCATGACAGCGATGGTTACACTGCTCCTTAAAAAGCCACATCTGGATCCAGAGGACATAAATAATTATCAGCATATAGCCAATATTCTCTTCCTGGGCACGGTACTTAAGTGGTCTGTGGCCAGGCAATTCCAGGCACTCTTGAAGGAAATGAATTATCTAGATCCATTTCAATCAGGCTTTAGGCCTGGGGTCAGAAAGGAAACTGCCTTGATCACCTTCTTGGATGACCTATGCCAGGAGGGAGAGAGTTGGAGCACGGTCCTGTTGATTCTCCTGGATCTCTCAGCTGCAACTGATACCATCGACCATGATATCTTTCTGGAGAGGCTGGCTGGCTGGAGGGCAATGGTTTGTGGTGGTTCCACTCCTATCTGGCTGACCATCTCCAGTTGGTGCAGCTGGGGAACTGTTGCTCTGTGCCATGGCATTTGTGTTGCTCCATTCTGTCCCCCATGCTCTTTAACATCTATATGAAGCCACTGGATGGGGTCATCCAGAGGTATGGGCTGATGTATCATCAGTATGCTGATGACACTCCGTTCTACCTCTCATTTTCATGTAACCCAAGTGAGGCAGAGCAATGCCTTGTAATGCCTTGACAGTGCCTTGGCTCAGTAATGGGCTGGATGAGGGCCAATAAATTCAAACTCAATCAGGACAAGATGTAGGTTCTGTTGGTGGGCAGTCTATCTCCCCAACTGGGAAATTTTCAACCAATCCTGGACAGGGTTGTACTCCCCATAAAGGATAAGGTTTGTCACTTGGGGGTGCTCCTGGACCCCGAGCTCTCACTTGTTTCTCACGTGAGTTTGGTGGTTAGGAGCACCTTTTATCAGCTTAGGATGATTTTCCAGGTACATTCCTATTGGACGAGTGAGCCTTGCCACAGTTATCTATGTGTTGATAACCTCTTGCCTGGATTACGGTAATGCATTCTATGTGGAGCTGCATTTGAAGACCATCTGGGCACTTCAAAGCAGAGTACTGCAGTTACTAACAAGGACCAGCCCTAGAGAACATATCGCACTGGTCCTCCACCAATTGCATTGGCTGCTTAGCATTGCTCAGGCCCAATTTAAAGTGCTCATACTAACATATAACGCCTTAAATGGCTTGGGACCAGGATATCTAAACACCTTTTTCCCTATATCCATGCCAGACCACTCAGGTCATCGGTAGAGGCCCTCCTTCAGGAACTCCCCCCATGAAATGAGTGGGGAATTGGTGAGGAAAAAGGCCTTCTGTTGGCGAACCTCACCTTTCAAATTCTCTTCCAAGGGAGGTGTGACTGGCACACACTTTACCTTGCTTTTGGTGCCAAGTTAAGACTTTTTATTTAGTATCTGTTTTTAGATGATGATAATTGATCTTGCTACTGGTTTATTGTTTTATTGGTTATATAGTGTTTATTTTTTCCTGTTGCATTTCATTGCTGTATCTATATTGTATTTTTATTCTATCATGTTCTATGGTTTTAGTTTTTATTTATTTATTTATTTATATGATTGCACTGTGCATAGCCCAGAGAGCCTCTGGCTATGAGGTGGCATACAAATGCAATAAACAAACAAACTAACTGAGATTATAGAGAACTTTGTTTATGCTAAACTGAATGTTATGAACTTGTGCTATTTTATAAATAGGGCAATAAAACTTTAAGTGGTACATTTATATTTTTTGCACATGTACTGATGAATCTACACTTAAAATTGGATATATTAAGAGTGCCAATGTGATGTCATGTTTAGAATGTTGGACTAGAACTTGGGAAATCTGGGTTCTAATCCACGCATAGCCATGAAGCTAACATAGACCTCACAGGTTGTCATGAAGATAAAATTGAGAGGAATGGGAAGACTGTGAATGCCACCTTCAATTCCTTGCAGGAAAAGGGGAATTTAAGGGCCAACTAGGTAAAAACAGCAGGAATCTGTCACTGGATTTTGAGATTTCTTTATACTGAACAGAAGTTCTTCCCTCCTCCCTATCAAAAAAGACTGGGGCTTCAGCACTGGGAGAGTACACATCTTTGGCTTGTTTCATTTCTGATCTTAAATCATACATACATAGCATTTTTTTTACAAATGCTATGACCATTTGCATTATTTATAATTACAATAGAATCATGTCAAATTTTAGTCTTTTGACTTCAATGTAAGAT